CTGTAACAACCTCTTTATCTTTTAAGGCCGTCCTTCCAAATCCTTCGTTCATCCACCTGATGAGAAAACTGAAGTTGAGAGCAGCTGAAGCATGTGCTTGGGAAACGCAGCCCTGGCTCTCTGAAACCCATGCCCTCTTTACAGGCAGCGTGCATGCTGTCTCTTCAGTCGTGTCTGACTCTTTGTGACTCTATAGACTGTAGGTCGCCAGCTCCTCTGTCCATGGAATTTTCCTGGCAAGAATACTGGAGTGGTTTGCCATGCCTTCCTCCAGGGGATCTTTCCGACCCAGGGATTGAACTCACGTCTCTGCATCTCCTGCACTGCAGGCAGATTCTTTACCTCTGAGCCACCAGGGAAGCCCTTACAGGCAACGTCCAAGGATAACTTATATCTGCATTCAGACCACCCTTGAGGAGGGTGGATCCCTTGTAAACAGTGCTTGCATGTGTGCTCAGTTGTGTCCGATTCTGTGACCCCATGGACTGTATGGATCGAACCCACATCTCCTGGAAGTCTCCTGCATTGACAGGAGGATTCTTTACCACTGTGCCACGGGGAAACCGCCTGTAAACAGTAGGTACTCAGTAAATGCCACTTCCTCTCTCCGATCCTTAGGTGAGTTTAAATTTGTTGCTGTTCAGTCGCTCAGTCGTGCCCGACCCCATGGACTGCAGCTCGCCAGGCTTCCCTGTCCTTCACCATCTCCCCGAGCTTGCTCAAACTCAGGTCCACTGAGTCGGTCATGCCACTCAAGCAGCTCCTCCTCTAGCTATAAAACTATAAAACTGTGAATATTTTGATGCTGCTATACAAAAAGTGACCAGCAGATGGCAGAATTGAGCTTTCCCGACTCTTAACGTCCCTATCGCAAGGATAAGCGGAGAAAAGTTGGTTGTCCTTCTGCAATCTCCAAACTCCTGAATGCCTCCGAAATGTCCATTGCCCCCCTTTGAAGCACCGTCCTCCTACTCCTTTGGTGAAAAGACGTAGTGAGCATCTGCTGAAGCTGCAGTTTGGGACACGCTGGCGGAAGAGCACAGGGACTTGCAACAAGGCCTTTAGTCCTTTTACTCTCTGCGTGTGTTCAGTCGTGTCCAACTCTTCGCGACCTGATGGACTGTAGCCCGCCAGGCTCCTCTGTCCATGGGATTTTCCAGGCAAGAACACCGGAGTGGGTTGCCATTTCCTTCTTCAGGGTATCTTCCCGGCTCAGGGATCGGAACCCTCGTTGGAAGCTTGAAATGCTGGTGTAAAACAGTCGCAGGGAAAGTGGCTGACTTAAGGTTCCTGTTTTCGCTTGGGGAAACCGAGGCTCCGAGAGCCAAGGTGATGTGCTCCGGAACACACAGCTAGGTCAGATTTTCTGACTCCTAATTCAGGGCACCAGGTTAGTTTCTCAAAGGCAAAATCTACTCTGAAGGCACTTTCAGTTCACATATGCAGACAGAAAATCTGAAAGTTAAAAAATAATGCAGAATGCCCCACCTCCCCACAAAAGTTCAATGCTTTGTGGGGGCTTTCCTGTGGATGCCCTGGTACCATAGACGAGCCTGCGTTTGGATAACTTCCCCTCCAAGTGCTCTTCACCTGAGGTCTGTGAACACCCTAGGAGTAGTATCCCCTCCCAACCCCAAAAAGGAAGGAAGTTATATGTATATGAGCACATGCACGAGCATATGGATCCACACTTATATGTTCCCAGCTTTCTTCAAATCCCCCAAGGTGTCTGAGCTAGTTATTCATGTATTATTCCTCAACTCCAAGTTCACTCACCAATACCTGCTCTGTGATAATGGACAGAATTCCCATAGGCGACTCTCCTCCACAATGAGCATAATGCTATAATGTAAGCTTTCTTAGGAGAGGATGCTGGGAGAACACTGCAGGAGGAAGGGGAAGTTCTCACTGGTTTGGGCAGGCGTCGTAGGACATCCTGTGGTGCTCTGCCCCAGCCACGTGCCCAGAAGGGCCTCCAGTGACCTTTGCAGGCCTGCCTGGCCTGGTGATCACTTTCCCATGACCCTCCCAACACAGACACTGTACGTTTTGTATCACCTGCCCACACCGCCACTCCACTCCCTCTACCTGCCCACATACCCACCTACCAGGTAATTGCTTCCTGCTTGTCCAGCGGCTGCTGACTAGCTTTGGCCCAGGCACCAGCTAATCTCTCTGCCTCCAGGGGGGCCATGACACCTCCTCCAACAAGGTTTGATCCGCAGCCTGGGGAGGGGGCCTCCTTCGTGGGTCCTCTTTCTCAGCTGAAGGAAGAGTAGCCCTGTAGGGGTTCACTTATGTTATATATATACATGATGGGTGGCCTCAGTATTGTCTCTTTGTGACCCATGGACTGTAGCCCACTAGGCTCTTCTGTCCACGGGATTTTCCAGCAAGAATACTGGAGTGGGTTGCCATTTCCTCCTCCAGGGGATTTTCCCGACCCAGGGATTGAACCCTGCATTGGCAGGTGGATTCTTTACTGCTAGCGCCACTGGGAAGCCTTTACATCCTATAGTTACTCTTTTATCATAGTGTATGTAATACTCTTTATATCAAACTTCCATTTCTTAAACCCTACGTGGTTTCTGCCTCCTGATTGGACCCGGACTGATACTTGTCTACTTGTGGCCCTTAAAATATTAAGATCCACCTGACCTAGTCCCAGTATAACAAAAATATAAAACTCACAGCTCACTGCTGAGCTCACAGAGAACAGTGTTACTACCCTATGTTAGGGATGGAGATCAGTTTCCCTGTTGCTGCAGAGGGCTGGCAGCTCTGGACAATCTCCCTTAAGTGGTCTCTCTTGCCTGCTTAGCTTAGCTGCATGCTCTCTGGTGGAGCAGTAAAATAACAAGCAATTAAGAGCATCATTTACAGAACACACACTTTAAATGGCATGCAAGGGTTTTATGTGTACTATTACTCCATTTTACAGATGTAAAAAAAAAAAAAGCAAAGATCTAAAGAAGTTAGAAACTTGCCCAAAGTTTCACAGTTGGCCCAGGGAGTGCTAGAATTTGAATCTCCAGTATATCCAATTCCAAAGCCCAAAACTCTTAATGACCATGATGTATTTCTTCATAGCAACTATCTATCGCAATGTCGAGCTCTGGGCTAGATGAATCCACAGTGGTTATATAATGTATTTCCTGTAGTAACTGTGTTTGGTAAGCAGTTCTATACATTTGGAGATGAAGAGAGCTTCTTATCCAAGGTCACTAAGCCACTGAGTGTAGAGGTAGGGTTTGATGTTAACTCTCTGACTCCAGAGCCCACGCTTTTTTTTTCCCCCATAATGTTGGACTGTTAGTAAGGGCTGTCTTTATTAAACAAACAAGAGCACAGGTATAAAGAAAATTGTTAAAAGACTTGATTACACACATAGGCTGAATTTCATACCCATATACATAAGTTGTTGTTCAGTTGCTAAAGTGTGTCTGACTCTGTCACCCCATCGCTGCATGCCAGGGTCCTCTGTCCTCCAGTATCTCCTGGAATTTGCTCAAATTCATGTCCATTGAGTCAGTGATGTCATCCAACCATCTAATCGTCTGCACCCCCACAGAAGACTTTACCCTAAACAAATAACATAATAATAATCTCTAATGGCAAAAGATAGCAAAAATAAAATTTAAAAACCAACAATGGCTTGGGAAAAAAACTTAAATATGTGCAGTGTGAAATTCAGAGCCCACATTTTTTAACTTCTACAGTGTACTATTTCCCAGCTTACATACTAGACGTGAACTTGGGGTAAGAATGCACCTTAACCTGGGGACCACGATGGCTGATACAAACAGAAAGCACATGGTGCTTGACTTCATATTCAGTGCCCGCCAGTTTCCAATCATGTCCTGTGTGTTACAAGATAGAAATCTGGTGAGGGAGAAGGATATAGGATCAGCTATGTCTTTCTCCCCTTGCCATTGCCCTCCTATACCTGACCCTAAACCTCACTCTAAGGAAGAGGGATGATCTGAAGGCACCTCTATAGGACTGGTTTGGAGGAACCTGTGTTTGTCTCCAACTCTCCTCCAGGGGATTCTTGGACACTTAACATGGCAGGTATGGTCCCCTAGAGCATCTTGCCAGTCCTGTATGCTCTGATTCCATGCGCATCAATGGTGTCAACCTGAGTGATGAGTCTCCTTTGTATGATCTCATAGTTGTTCACTGGGTTTCCCAGGGGGTGCTAGTGGTAAAGAACCCAACTGCCAATGCAGGAGATGTAAGAGAACTGGGTTTAATCCCTGGGTCGGGAAGATCCCCCGGAGGAGGGCATGACAACCTGCTCCAGTATTCTTTCCTGGAGAATCCCATGAACAGAGGAGCCTGGGGGGCTATGGTCCATAGGGTCACAAAGAGTTGGACACAACTGAAGCGACTTAGCACACATGTACGCATAGTTGTTCACTAATTTAGTTAGTGACATAGCAGCTGATAGAGCAAAGATGAAACATTATAAGATTCAGAATATTTGCAGGTTGCTAAGAAAAAGAAACTATTCCAGATAGTAAGACCAAAGAGCAGATTCACTTCTACGAGAGGTCCACATGTATAATCACTGTGAATGATTACACTAAGCAATGCCCTCAACAACATCCCAACAACAGATAGGGGATCAACGTTCAAAACTGTATTATGTATAATGTTCCTCAGTGTAGGTCAAAGGCCTCCAACCAAAGCATGACTTCTCCAAGAAGTCATGCGTTCTAGTCAGACCAGAACTCTACTGCTGTGGCTGAATTGGTGATATATTTTAGAACACATGTCTAGAGATTGAACAGAAGAGATACTTTATAGGCACTTGTCCACAAACAGCATTTCAGTTAGCCAAGCTTTTGAAAAGTCCTTTGTGGCTGTGGGTTTTAGATTCTACTTGGAACGGTGGTGCTTTCCATTGCCAGTTAAGAAATGAGCCGCATGCCTTACTAATAAACTGGGCTGGGACTTTGATTCAGTCCTCTTATGAAAACTCAGGCGCCGACAAGTACATGATCCTAAAAGAAGGCCAACCCACATCCCCTCCAAAGTGCGTCAAGGGAGTCCTTGCCGGCAGAGCCAAGATTTGCTTTGGGAGGAATTTTGAGAGTTCTCTAGCCGTGCAACAAGTAGTGGAGGTAATTGAAGCCCCACAATTCAACATCCTAAAGTAAGACAGCAATAAAAATTAGCCTGGAAAAATGGTAAAGTGGGTTGCTAACCATCTACTCTGTTTGGCGACACGTGCAAAAATCTGCAGCACATTTCATTTTGAGCAACAGATCCTGCTAGTTAAACTGGTTGTGGAATGTCCTCCCAAAGAAACTAAATAAACTTACTATTTATAATTATTTTCTATAAATCTCCCTAAAGTTGGAGGCTATGTATTAATATCATAATTATTATTTCAGATCCAGAACTGGTAGCCCTTGTTTCCGGAGATAATTAGATAGCAGTATCAATTGTCTATTAAGACCATTCCTGGTCCATGACATGAAAATCAGGTCATTTACATCCCAGAGACTGCGTGGCTTTCTGTTTTCCAGAGCAGGGCAGGATGGCATGGTAAGACCACATTTAACTACCTGCCTGACACAGACACTGACCCTGCAGAACTGACACTGGCTGGTGGGCTGCAACTGAGTCCAGCAGGAAGCAAACATCCAAAGGTGGTTTCAATTGATTAAAGATCGAATTAAGTGTGATCTAGTCAATTTACTGTTTACTGCCCGATCATAATTGCTGAATAAAGCTAATTGTGATTGTGTGCCCAGTCGCTCAGTTGTGTCCATCTCTTTGCGACCCTATGGACGGTAGCCCACCAGGCTCCTCTTTCCTTGGGATTTTCCAGGCAAGAACACTGGAGTGGGTTTCCATTCCCTTCTCCAGGGGATCTTCCTGATCCAGGGAGCAAACCCGCCTCTCCTGCGTCTCCGGCATTGGCAGGCTGAATTTTTACCACTGAGACATCTGGGAAGCGCTAAAGCTACTTAGATCTGTAAAAGAGAAGAAGAAGAAGATCAAGTTAATAACAAAAGAAGCCAGGACACACATCTTTAGTTGACTGGGCTGGAAGTTACAAATAATGTAGACCATATTTTTCTCTACATATGGTGTCAGAGGCTGGGAAAGGATCAGCAAAAGTCATAAACCATTTAATCCAATTTTTGGCAGACTTTGCTTCAAGACCCTATGAATTATAGCAGATGACTATGCACAGCTTGCAAGCTGTGCATAGAGAAAGTCAGGCTTGCAAATTATTAAACCAAAGCCAAACTGGTAGATCTTGCTCATACTTGTTGGAGCAACAAGTATTTGTTTGCCAGACTTTTCCATTCTGACTCTGAATGGCCAGTGTCCTGAGAAACCCTCAGTCCCTGGCAAACCAGGACAGTGGGTCACCTACCTGGAGGCCTTCCTCACAAGCTGGTGATCCTAGGCTGGACATCTACATTTGGGGATGAAGCACTAAACACTGCCTGGAATCTCTGCCTGGGAGTAGGGTTTGTTGACTGATGGAGTTTGCCGCAGGGTGTTTAACCATCCATCATTGCTGGCACTGAGGGAAACAGTAAATATCAGTCACTGGAGGACACTTGTCTGAGATGCTCATTTTCTGCACAAATGAATTCTCCAATTCCCTGCTTGTGGATGGTAAATCAGATTGCTGACTTCCCAGGGTCTGAGGTCCCATTATTCAACATGCAAATTTTTGCTTATTCCTTGCTTAGCCCAGTATCTTACTTACCTCCTTTCAAATTCATTGCCTTACATTTCTCCAAAGAAGACATACAGATGGCTAACAAACACATGAAAAGATGCTCAACGTCACTCATTATCAGAGAAATTAAAATCAAAACCACAGTGAGGTACCATCTCACGCAGGTCAGAATTGCTGCTATCAAAAAGTCTACAAACAATAAATGTTGGAGAAGGCGAGGAGAAAAAGGAACCCTCTTTCAGTGTTGGTGGGAATGCAACCTAGTACAGCCACTATGGAGAAGAGTGTGGAGAGTCCTTAAAAAACTGGAAATAGAACTGCCATACAGCCCAGCAATCCCACTGCTGGGCATACACACTGAGGAAACCAGATCTGAAAGAGACATGTGCACCCCAATGTTCATCTCAGCACTGTTTACAATAGCCAGGACATGGAAGCAACCTAGATGTCCATTGGCAGACGAACGGATAAGAAAGTGTGGTACATATACACAATGGAATATTACTCAGCAATTAAAAAGAATGCATTCGAATCAGTTCTAAAGAGGTGGATGAAACTGGAGCCTATTTTACAGAGTGAAGTAAGCCAGAAAGAAAAACACCAATACAGTATATTAACATATATACATGGAATTTAGAAAGATGGTAATGACGACTCTATATGCGAGACAGCAAAAGAGACACAGATGTAAAGAACAGGCTGTTGGACTCTGTGGGAGAAGGCGAGGCTGGGATGATTTGAGAGAATAGCATTGAAACATGTATATTACCACATGTGAAATAGATCGCCAGTCCAGGTTGGATGCATGAGACAGGGTGCTCCGGGCTGGTGCACTGGGATGACCCTGAGGGATGGGATGGGGAGGGAGGTGGGAGGGAGGGTCAGGATGGGGAACACATGTACACCCATGGCTGATTCATGTGAATGTATGGCAAAAACCACCACAATATTGTAAAGTAATTAGCCTCTAATTAAAAAACAAAAACAAGAACAAAAACAAGTTCATTGCCTTACATCTACCATTCTGCAGTCCCCACAGTTCAAGTCTCCCTTTTCCCATATCTCCCTGAAGTAAACAGAGAAAGTGACCTAGGGTTTCCACCCATGCCCTGCGGCCCTGTGTGCAGTCTTACCTGTACCTTAGATCTTCAAGGGCTGAGTCTTTCTGAGACTCTGGGGGTGGGGTGCAGAGAAATAGCTGGCTTCTCCGGGTTTTCTCCCCCTGGAGGCAATTGACATTTGAGAAAGATTAGAGCCGTGCAAGCTGCTGCAGAGGGAGAGGCAGAGCCTGCTGGCTGAACTGTTTGTTCCTACAATAGCTTGCTTACTTTTGCAAATCCTACAAGAACAGATAACTACGTAAAACACTACGAAGTAAAAACCCATGAAGCCTCTCCCACGAGGAATCCACGGAAACCAGGGGCTTGCAACTTCACGGTGGTGATTCTGGCAGAGGGAAAGTAAATAGTTACCAGAGCTCTAGGCTGGATGCCTTCGCAGAAGGTGGTATCTCACTTGAGATTTAGAACCCAGAGGGAAAGCAGATTGAGAGCGAAAGATGGTTAGTTCATTTTTTGACATTATAAGTGTGAGTTTTTGGAGGAATATTTTGGTAAAGGTATACAGAAGTTATTGATTCATACATTTGTAATTCTAGTATCACTCCCCTGTTTAAATGAAAAAATTCAAACAATCCAAAAGAAGGTAGAAAAAGAAAAAAGAAACAAAGAGGAAGTATATACCATGTGATATTTAACATATCATGTGCCACCTGTATGGCTTAATGCCTCTTTTTCTTTTTTTAATGCTTCTTTTTGTTGCTGGATCCAGGGGAAGGTCAAGGGTGGGGTACTGTAAGGTCTCAACAACAACTATTTACTGAACAGGATGGAAAATTTTCAATTTGTTATATCAGTCCTGAAGGCACACACACACACACACACACACACACAAATATAACAACATAAAAGGGGTGGGTATAAATCTCAATATTTCTGTAGTTGTTATCCATATAAGCTGGTTAAGCTCACCAATTAAAAGCAGATACTCAGATCTATTTCTTAAATCTTGTAAAAAGTAGTTGTATGGCATTTCCAAGAGAAAACAACAACAAAAGATTCTAAAAATAAATAACATTCAACTCTAGAAATCAGAAAAAGAACACTAGAGCAAGCACAAAGAAAGTAGAAGGAACAAAAGTGCAAAGATAAAAGCAGAAATAAAAGGAATAGATCCTTAAAAAAAGAGAGAGAGAGAGAATTAACATGATTTTAAAAACTAGGAGATTCCCTAATCTCCACCTGCAGTGCCAGAGACCTGGGTTCAATCCCTGGGTTGGGAAGATTCCCTGGAGAAAGGAAAGGCTACTCACTCCAGTGTTCTGGCCTGGAGAATTCCATGGACTGTATAATCCATGGGGTCACAGAGAGTCTGGCACCTACTAAGTGACTTTCACTTTCACTGCAAAATCTGGCAAGACAGATCAGAAGACTTTCTGGACCCCAGCCTCTCACCTGCCTCTCACCTGCCTCTGATTCACCCCGGGGTCCTTTTTGCAAGTCTGTATTGTGTGGGATAAGTCCTGGGTGTTCATTGGAGGGACTGATGCTGAAACTCCAATACTTTGGCCACCTCATGCGAAGAGTTGACTCCTTGGAAAAGACCCTGATGCTGGGAGGGATTGGGGGCAGGAGGAGAAGGGGAAGACAGAGGATGAGATGGTTGGATGGCATCACTGACTCGATGGGCATGAGTTTGAGTAAACTCTGGGAGTTGGTGATGGACAGGGAGGCCTGGTGTGCTGTGATTCATGGGGTTGCAAAGAGTCGGACACGACTGAGTGACTGAACTGAACTGATTGTGTGGGATATGTACAACTTAATATTCTTTTCCCATTAAAGAAGAACTGTATTTAGAGTAATGTGATTTTCTTTTGTACCTCTTCCTGAGGCACCTAGTACAGGGCTGGTCATGCTGGCTGGGTCACCTTGGCTGTTTCAACCATGGTCAGATGAGTGAATCAATGTAAAAAAGATTTAATACGGTACTACTCAGAGGTCTACAGCACCTGACATTTTTACAAGGCACTTACTTTCCCTTGCTTCATTTGATGTTTGCATCAGCCCTGAGCAACAATGAAGTAGAGGTTACTTTACAGATTTTTATAGATTAATTTGAAAATTTTACAGGTGAGAAAACCAATGCTTGGAGAACGCACCCCTTTCCAAGTGTCAGAATGGGAACTAGAACCCAGGTATTTGAACACCAAATCTAGTCTTTTCCCCCACAGGGTGTTCCTACTAAGTCACAAAACCCAGCGGTAACTATTTTGGCTTCGAGGGGCTCAGTTCTAAGGCAGAAAAGTTTGTGCTACACAAAAAAAGAATTTCAGTGTAAATGACTGACTTATCTATCAACGTCGTATTTAAAAGCATTCGCTCAGTCAGGAGAAAAATGAGCCAATCAAAGAAACTCGCTTTTGCAACTACTTAGGAGCTGGGAACACCGCGGTGCTGGGTCTTCAGGCTTTCGGGCTGGGCGGATGCCACGTGAACTTACCAGACAAAACCCCCAGCCCAGAGAGAGCGCCAGGTAACAGATAAGCCACCCCCCGCCCCCGCCCCGGAAAGCTGCGGATTCGGCTGGGCGCTTCAAGCGGGCGCCCGCACTAACAACGCCGCAGGCGCCTGCATCAGAGTAATAACAACCCTGCAAGAGTCTCCTGTGCCTCTGACTCTTTCCGCTCTTTTTCTGCTCCGGGGCGCGTTTCCTTCGAGCCGCTCGCGAGCCTTTGGCCTGCGTTTCACCCTCACCCGCCCAATCATCTCCAAAAAATGCAGTACGGTCCCAAAAAAGAGCCGCGCCTTGGGGGAGGTGGGGGTGTTGGAGAGGCTGCGGAAGATGACTGGATACCCAGGGTTCTTAGCTGGGCTCCTGCGGCGAAGCCTGCACCAGGGACCGAGCGCAGCACACTGACCTGGCATCCTCCTCGGCCTGTCCAGCTCCTTCGCTATTAAAATGCAGATCGAACCAGCAGCTTTGTTTTTAACGGCCCCAAATGGGCAACAATCTAAAAGTCCTTTGTAAGGAGCTAAGTGACAAAGAATGATGACGCGCAAAACCGCTCCTATTGTGCAGTGGTTGGGAAGAACCAAGTTGATCCCAGTGCACTTGTTAGCTAAGACCCTCCAATATATAGTGACTAAAAAACCACGTTGCAGAAAAACACTGCAACACCATTTTGTAAACAGTACATCTACCTACTGTATGAAAGATACGTCTAAAAGTGGGCTGAGAGAATGAAGAGTGAATTTGTTTTTTTAAACTATATTATGGATGCTTAGTCGCTTCAGCCCTGTCCGACTCTTTGCGACTCCAGGAAGTGTAGCCTGTCAGGCTCCTCTGTCCAAGAGATTTCCCAGGCAAGAATACTGGAGTGGGTTGCTATTTAAATAATATTTAATATATATTATATTTTAAAATAAGTACAATAAATATACTAATATATTACATAGATGACCTTTTCTTTCAACAAATAAACTTTATTTTCTAGACTAGTTTGTTACAAAAAATTTCAGAGTTCTCATAAACTCGTTTCTTCTATCATTAACATCTTTTATTAGCATGGTGTTTTGCCACAATGAATGAGCCAGTGTTGATGCATTATTATCAATTAACCTCCATACTTTATTCAGGTGTCCTTAGTCTTTATCTAATGTGCTTTTTCCAGGGTCCTATCCAGGAAACATTACATTTAGTTTTCACATTTTCTCAGGCTTCTCTTGACTGTACCAACGTGGCTCAGACTTTCCTTGGTTTTGATGACCTTGACAATTTTGAGGAATACTGGTCACGTGTTTTGTAAAATATCCCTGAACAAGGATTAATCGTGTTTTTCTCACGACTAGATTGGGATTGTGCATTTTTGAAAAGAAGACCACAATCGGTACATACTGTTGCTCCATCATTCTTGACGTTGACCTTGACCATCCGGCTGAGATATTAGTAGTTGCAGTTTCTGCACCATGAAGCTGCTCTCCGCCACCTCCACGTCCATCCTGTTGTGTCCCTTTTTAATGTACAGAGTCAATAAAGAAGGGACACTGAGCTGGCGGGGGCTTGGGGAAATCCCCTCCCCCGGAGTGCGGCGCCGGCCAGGACAGGTCCAGGAAGGCGGTGCAGTGAACCGGTTCTTCGCCGACCTCCGGGAGCCTGCCGTAACCTCTCGTGGCGGAAGGCCTGTGGCTTCCTTCCCAGACTGGTAGAGGCATTCCGTAGTGTGCTGGTCCAGAACGACTCTCACCTGGGGGCGGGACCGCGTGCTCACCACGCCCAGGCCCCGCCCACCCCGGCCCCCGCCCCTCCTTGGCGCACGCGGCCCCGCCCCGGGGCACGTTGGGCCTCGGGGCCCGGGGTTTTCCGCCTCGTGGGCTCCGCCTCCGGCTCCTCCCTGACGGCTGAGGAGCCTGCGGGTCGCCAGTTCCCCGAGTGCTCCGAGTGTGGGAGTGGGACAAAACTCGAGTCCGGTGGGAGGTGCCGCGCCTGGGACGCCCGGAGAGAGCGCTGCTGCTGCCCGCCCGCGTCCCACTTCTCCCCTCGCGGCTCCCCACTGCCCCTTGGCCAGGTGAGTGAGGGTTCTCCGGCTTGAGGGGGCACGGGACGGGGTGGAGGCAGGGCGCCGTGGCCCGCGCCGGGAGGCCCCGGACTGCCCCGCGCCACCTTCGGCCCGGCCCTGAGGCTTCCTGGTTACACAGCATGGGGGTAGAGGCGCGGGTGTCGAGCTGGTCCCGGACGGGCTTCGTCGGCCTGCCTGCCCAGCTCTGTCAGCGGCTGGGGGCGCTCCTTGTGAGGTGGGCGGTGCACGGGCGGGGCCCCCAGTGGCCAGGGCCGCGTGATTGTGCTGCTCCGCTGGGGTCCGGGGCTCAGGGCCTGGGAGCCCGTTAACCTGCGACAAGAAGGCGGCTGGCTGGTGGGGGGATGGCGGAGGCCGCGACCCCTCTGACCTCGCTGACTTCTGGAGAGTGTGTGTACCCTTCCGGAAAAGGCTTCTGTAAGGGGACCTAGGAGAGGTGGCTGCCTTCAGGAACTTTCCTCCGGAACTGGAAAGACGGAAATTCCTGGGAGCTGCTGCTGTTGCAGTTGATTTATAAGGCACTTTATTTGAGAGAATGCGGGATCTACCCCAGGTGCTGTGTTCACCTGTGTGTTTACCTTCTCTGCCTGTTCCTTCATCTCAGCCTTGAGCTACAGTTTCAGGGAGGGATTCTTGACTTCTCCCCCTGAAAAACCTTTAAGAAATGCGTCTGTTGATTTAACGGAGAGTTGTGCAGTTCATCAACTTGAGACTTTGGGGAGCTGAAGCCTAGCTAGACAGTTCCAGCCCAAGCTGGGAGCAGTTTGCCTGGCACATTTCTGTCCCTTCCCCTCTAAATCAGCGACCTTTCTTTGGCGATTGGGTGTTTTAGGACAGACCCAGGCTATCTTTGGTAGCCAACCCCTCTGCCTTCCCTCCCTGCCTTCACTTTGCTCCCCGGCTGCCTTGACCTGGGCTTGGAGTGACCCATCAAGGGGTGAGCCTCTGCCCAGCCCCCACAGCAGGAACAAGAGCTAAGAGGGCAGTGCCAGGCTGCGTCCAGGCAGGGCGTGTTATCTTGCTCATCCCCCAACTGGCTCTGCTTATGTTCCTTCCTTGTTTCAGTCAGTTGTTCGGGATGCCAGGAGAATTAGCAGGGCCCCTTCGCACAAGGCGCTCTCCTTGCCGCAAGGTTTTCCCTGACAGGAGAAACTAGGTGAGGTTCCAGGGCTGTTTGTTGCCCCGGCATGGGGTGCACACTACCTTGGGCATCCCTTCCAAATCTCGCCTCTTACTAGTCTCTCTGCCTTTGTTTCCTTCGCTTTAACATGGGGGTAATAATAATACCTGGAGCTTCCCTGGTGGCTCAGCTGTAGAGTCTGCCTGCCAGTGCAGAAGACGCAGGTTCTATCCCTGGGTCGGGAAGATCCCCTGGAGAAGGAAATGGCTACCTACTCCAGTATTATTGCCTTGGAAATCCCATGGACAGAGGAGCCTAGTGGGCTACAGTCCATGGGGTCGCAAAGAGCCGAACACAACTTAGTGACTGAAGACAACAGCAACAATCATAATACTTACCTTACAGGGTTATTGTGAGGAGTAAATAAATTAATATACTAAACAACCATACAGCTCAGTCACTGATCTGAATAGGTGGTGACCATGCTTCTTTGTCCCAGATAGACGTAAAGCTTAAAGCAGGGCCTGACACATTAGTATTCATTGGTAAGAGTCAATAATATTTATTATTCCCTTCATGCAGCTGAAGGTCAGCCTAGTTGAATTGCTCTCCTCCTGACCTGTTCCTCTGTCTTCGCTGATATTCTTTTGCCCTCCTCCCCCCAGTTCTGCCTGTTATTCATCGCCCTTCTAGGAGCCATCCAGGTACCTGGAGCAGGAAGGGGCAAGACACGTGGTCAGCCCACACAGCCCTCCTCCACTCCTTTAACATCACTTCTCAGTATTCGCCCTGCAGAAGTAATTGTACAGCCAACATCTTTCTGGCCCATCCTCTGTCTGGAGGGTGGGTCACTCATCTCTTGGTCTCACAGCATCCAGAAAGGACCTTGCCTGATGTTGGTACTCAGCAGATGTTAGCTAAGTGAAGAGGCAGGCCAGGGATATTTGACCTCAGAAACTGAATTTGGATAGGTTAAAAAAAAAGAAAGTGGGGAGAGTGAGATGGACGTGAGTTCAGACTGAGAGATGGGCATAGGAACTGGCAGAAGGTCAAGAGGAAGTCCCCTTGGACTCCTTTATGTTATCAGGTCAAGGATTGTTGTCAGGGCTTGTCCCGGATTGCGACACCTAGAAGGCCAAGATTGATTAGTGATGCCTTGGCCACGTGATTTGGGGAGGATGGGTAGTTTGGGATGGTAGGAGTGAGAATTGAGCCCGAATAGGTGACTGTGGGATTTTCCTGGGCATTCACTGCAAAAAAAAAAAAAAAAGCTGGTGTGGGCAGGAGGTGACTGTAGAAACCAAATCTATGCTGAGTGCTGAATCTGCAGAGAACCTAGGGCCTTTCTGGATCTCACTCTTTCCTGTTCTTTCCTCTCTCTTTTCAGCTGCTGTCTTTTCCCACTTAAGCAGTTCCTAGCACTTGTCCCATGGCGGGCACTGGAGGAAGATTCTGTGTGTAGGTGTATTTCACAATCGCAGCCAAGTGAACGGATTCAGGTTTCTCTGGATTTTTCTCAACAGCACCTTGTGAGCCCATTGCCTGTAAAACGTAAGGAATCTGAGGGATACCTAGATAGGAACACTCTTAGGAGAAATGGAGAAACTGAAATGTCTTTGTTGGGAATTTGCATTTTTAAAAGCAGTTGTTGAAATTTCAACGGAGCTTTCTGATAACGCTGAAACCATACCACAGGAGGCCTGCTGACCCTGATCCCGGGACCTGGTGAAATAAAGGTCAGATGTCATGTGGTGGTCTGGGAGGATCCTGACAGTGTGGTGTGAATAGTGACTCAAACCGCAGCTGACTTTGCTCCTGATGTGAGAAAGTAACAGGTGGGGTCAATGGAGGGGTGAGGAGGCAGAGTTCCCATCTGTGCTGGGTATCCTGGGACAAGCCACATAGCCACAACAGGGTCCCAGTGTTCTGGGTAGTAAAATGGTTGTTTGCAGAATCTGGTGAGAAGATGTTTGCAAAAGGGGCTTGATATCAGTTAGGGGGTGGCGATGGCAGTGTTGATATCTTGGGTTGCTGCAAGGAATCTTGAAGCTGGGGTTGGAGTGTGTGGGTGGTAGGTAGCTGACTCCTGGTTCTGTGATCTCTGAGTTCTAGTCTTCTAAGGGCTTATGGTCCTGAAGGTACCACTGCCTTAGCAGGAAAAAGGGGGAGGAATGACTCCTGAAATTGAGAAGGGAAGTCAGGTGCCCGGAGCCTCTTACACCTGTAGCATGGGCAGAGACTGGCTTGGAGGATGGTGAGTGAGGGACGAGGAGAAACTCAGAGCTGATGACAGGGAGGTGGAGGGTAAGCCTGGGGATGGCATCCTTGGGGAAAAGGGTGTGTCTGTGAGGGGGCTGGTAATAGCTGACTGAGCTTGCTGTGTTCACCTAAAAGGTCATGGCTATTTTAGGAAGCTAGTGACAAGCATATTGCTGTTGAACTCATAGTTAGTGAGTACCCACTGTTTGCCTAGCCTTGTACTGTGAGCACAAAAGCAGAGGCCACCCCCACCCACCCTATGTTGTCCCTGGCTGTTTTGTAGTACAGATGTAAAATAATTTATTCAACCTTTCCCTTATTGCTGGGTATGGAGGCTATTGACTATTTTTATAGTTTGAAACAGTGTTGGAATAAATAGTCTGTGCATGCTCAGTCGCTTTTGTTGTGTCCCACTCTTTGCAACCCTATGGACTATAGCCTGCTAGGCTCCTCTGTCTATGGAATTCTTCAGACAAGAATACTGGAGTGGATTGCCATGCCCACCTCCAGGGGATCTTCCTGACCCAGAGATTGAACCTGGGTCTCCTGCATTGCAGGCGAATTCTTTACCACTGAGCCACCAGTAGGAATCTTTATGAGGAAGAGCTAACACTTCTATAATATTAAGTCTTCCAGATCAAGGACAGATTACAGACCTTGTGATATAGAATGTCTTTGTTAGATACTAAGAATGGGATTCTAATTGGATATGCTGGAAGTGTATATTTCATAAAATATGTTATATAATTTGGAAATTATTTGTAAATATTTTTTTGAAAATTCTTTCTACTTTTTTGGTCATTAATTTCAACCTTTATTGTTACTCATTTCTTCTTACTTTTTGCTTATTTCATTGCTCTAGTTTTCACGTCTAAATTGGTTCATTTATTTTTAGTTTTTTAATTTAAAAATTATGTAGACGTCAAAATTTTCTTCTGAGTACCAGTCTAGCCAGTGGGTCTTTATATGAAATGCTCATCTTTCCATTGCTTCCTTGTACTTTGTAGATTATTTCTGATCCAAAGACTTTTTAGAAGGCAGCATCTTTAATTTCTGAGGAAGTTTTGGGGCAGTCTGATCATATTTTAATGTTGGCTGCTAGTTCTCTTGGCTTCCTCAGTGGCTCAGCTGCCAATGCAGGAGATGCGAGTGATGCGTGTTTATTCCCTGGATCGGGAAGATTCCCTGTATGAAGTGGCAGCCTGCTCTAGTATTCTTCCCTGGAAAATTCCATGGACAGAGTAGCCTGGCGGGCCGGAGTCCCTGGGTTGCAGAGTTGGACGCAACTGAGCATACATGCACGGTTCTATTGAGTGAAGGTGCTTGGCAGAATCTCTTGTGGGACTGTATTAAGATTTTCTTTGTGGCCAGCTACATGATCAGCCTGAAAAGCTTTCATGACATGTATTCTCCGTGGAACACAGACGTCAGATATTTCTTTGATCTTGAGGGTGCCCTCTGCATCCTTACTTATTGAATCTTTATTTTTGAGTCAAACTCGACTTACATTTGCTCTGGATTTGTGAATTTGGTGTGCATGTTTGGTGTATACAGCTTTATCAAGCTTATCTTTGTGGATTGTATCTTGTGTCATTTGTTACTTATTCTGTACCTTTGGCCTTAAATTCCATATTATCTATTTTAGGAGCATATATTGTCAATAATCTGGGAGAATTCCTTCTTTGTAGTCCTGGAATTAGTAATTAAATGCATTTTATAGGACAGTAAGTAAAAGGCTCAGAAAT